CAACCAAACGGTAGCTTTCCCTCTACATTCGACGGATAATGTGTACAAGTATATAATGTAATTTCTTAGCAATTTGTTTTTGTAATTGATCCAAAGCGATATATTGTGAAATTAAATTAATCACTCAGCAAGTATTAACATTAGTTTGTTTCCTCGATATGGCCATGGTGGTCATCAGTGACTGGAGTGCCTCAAATGTTTAGAATAATTAAAATAAAATAAATGTTGTCAACTAAAAATTTTGAACGTCAGAGCTAGCTAGACATTATTTTCAATTGAAAAAAAAAAATTATAAAGCATAATACTATAATCCTATGCTTAAAATGTATTTTCTTGTGGCCGCCTAACAGCAATCTGTAAATCTGACGTGACAGTGAACGTGTTATTAAGTAAATGTTGTTCAAATTATGTCGTGTTTTATGTCATTTTCATCAGAAAAATCTCACCAACATGTTAAAAAAAATTCCAGATGAAAAAAAGTAAAATTAAAGAAATTATATTTTTCTATTATGATTGGTCGAGCCGTGAAATCTCGTAAAGGAAACCGACTGGTGTAGCGTTACACGCTTGACTGACTGCGAGGGAGATAACATGGGCGTAGCAATGACGCAGCCTAGATATAGGACCATCTATACTGTCACTTGTAGAATCCAAACTTACTGACTCTTGTAGAGAATTTACTGTATACACATTTCGTTTGCTCAGCAAACGATTGATCTGGGACACTTTGCGGGACCCACTTTCGTCTTATCCTTTTGTAGCAGAGGGTAACATAAATATTTGAACGGTAGCGCTCTCGCGAGAGACGATTCTCCCCTTTGTTTACTGCTGCGGGCGCAGATGATACTGCAGAATTTTTTTCCATAGAAACGGCCTACAAACCTCCAGTGAAAAAGTCTCGATCCCCAGCGAACGCGAATCACGATAACTAGAACGAGTTCGTTCTTATGGGAAAGTGTATCCGAATGTAACGAAAAAGTACAGCTTCGAAAAGTATGCAAGGCGTAAACTTTGACGAAAGGAGTAGGAAAAATAAGAAAAGAGCGAATGCAGGGAAGATTCGTGAAACTGGCACATGCGTTCGTACTCCGGGAATTAGAAGTTCCTGGTTTCTGGAATAGCTATTTTTCGATATCCTCTGCGATGCTAGCTATGTATTTGTGAGAAATGCTTGAATTTCAAGTTTTGCTACTTTTAAAGAATTAGCGGTGTATGTAACGGTGTTCTACCAAAAACGAATAGCACGTTGTGATAAGGAATGATAATGGAATTAGTAGAAAGTGGTTACTGTTCGTTTACATTGTCTTTCAAGTACTGTAATTTAAATAGGAACTACAAGGTACTTAGAAAGCTCATTATCGGTTTAGTAGAATTCTTATCTCTGACCATCTGTTGAAAAAAAGAAAAAATTTCTTAATAAAATGTAAGAAAAATAGTGGAAGGAATGAAAACGAGGAAAAAGGACGTGTAACAATAGGGGGAAAGGAACGTATAAATACGAGAGGTAAGAAAAACAGGTAAAGCGAGATGAAGGGCAGATACGAGCAAAAGTATGGAAAAGAGTATAACTGCCAAAAGAAGGAATAGATAAAAGAGAAGTACGTAGAGAAGGAACAAAGGACATAACTTGTATCTGTGAAATTCATAAATATTTGCAATGATAGAAATCCAGGGAGAATACAAGGCGTCAAACGTAATAAGTAGTGCGATGGAAAATGGTTGAACTTGCATCCCATGCAGGGAAAGAAGAAATAAATGTAACATGTCGTCTTGAAATTCTGTTTCCAAACGAGAACCAAAAGCCAGTATTTTTTAAAAGCAATATCATTGTAACTGTTACCAAATAATTCATGTAAGATGGAGGTTATTTATCAGCTAACACATTTTACAGTACAAATATGCTCGAGAGTTCTAAAAACAGCTAAAACTTTGATAAAATTCCCAACTTGCACCCATGAATTTAGAATAATTCATTATTGACAAGTTTGTGATTTACAATTAAAATATAGCAGTACGATAAAATCTTTGTTTTCGAAGTAATTCAGAAGTGTACAAGTATTTTATTATTACAACATTGTTAGTCATCGCATCTTCATTCTTCCTTTAATTTTATCGAGCTTTTCAATCGTTTGAAAAATTAGAGGAAGAAGTCTCGCTTCTTATATCGAGAATAATTGAACCGCGTGAAAATCAAAGGCAAATTAAATCGTGATCCGTCATAGTTGGAAATTTCCCGGTGGAAACGATGTTGTTATTCGCGATAATGTGTAAAGGCTGCGCGTATTTGCTGGTCACGCAGTGAAACAAGCCGACCCTGAACGGACCACGGAATATTAACGGTAATAGCAGTGTGTTGACCCTAACGAAAAATAGATTTTTCATTTTGACTTATATTCCATTGAAATTTTAGCCAGCTACATTTTGTTCCTCGTTATTTACGCCGTGCTTTCAACACTCGTTAATGCAAAAAGTGCTATCATAAAATTCGATAGGAAAATTACTGCGAACAATAACATTTCAATTATTCTTGTCTAATCTTGACATTTTAATTGTTCCACAATTTTCTATTTTCTCGTAAAAAATATTTACAAAAGTGTTGTATAACATTCGTTAAGTATACATATACATTGCAAACAACCTCCGTTTAAATTAGTTTTCGAATATTATTTTATTTCCTGCTTCAGGTAAATAGTAAGAAAACAGTAATAAAATCAGAGTAATTAATTCCCAGAATTATACTACATATTATATATTTGTATACATATTGATTAAACAAAACAAAATTTTCAGTATATACTGCAAATATATTAAGTACTCTGTTTATTCTTCATTTCGTGCAATAATTTAGTAGCAGATGAATAAACAATTAATGAAAAATAAAATAAACAAGGTCGTATGGTGAAATATTTAACTATAAATTAAAGAATTTTCGTTTTTATTATGGAATAAAACAAAATGAACTTGAAAACAAGGATAAAGCAAAAGCAACGGTAAAACGTATAAAATTACGTTTGAAATTGTGTACATAATTTAAAACTCGCGGATTTTCGAAACAAATTTATAATCATAGGGTGACATCTATCACACGAAGAAAAGCTTTACAAACAACAAAGGCCAATGGAAAGGGCGGATTCAAAACACACGTATAAAACGTATTTGCAGGAGCAGATCCTGTGTGACCTTTCCCAAACTGAGAGACAGATTCTGTAAACATTCAAGCATATAAACTTTTCAGTGTACCATTAACAGTGATCGCGTCGTTAGTGTTCGAAAATCACTGTGGAATATCGGAATATAAAAACGAATTAAGAATTATGCGTCCTAACGTGCTCCTTTTAACAAGTTACAGTTTAATAAGTGTTTAAGAAACATTTCTCTTCAAGTGGTATGTGTCAGTTCATTATAAAGGGAAAATATCGTTATTGATACCCATTTGCTGATGCAATAATAGTACAAGTATATGCCATATTTTTCTTAAAATACATTTGATACATTTTCCTCAGCTTTAAAGACATTCTTATGATCCTTTATGTTGATTTCTTTTATTTTCATTATTATTTTCCTGTTAAACATGGTAATTAGTACATTTTACTTATATTTTATATTAATAGCCTAGTAATTTAGCTGCATATTCATATTTTCTTTTTAAATGGACGTATATAATAATAAACTAAAAAACCTTCGTATAAGTAATTGATCGAGAATCATAATAGTAAAAATTTAAAAAATGGATTAAACAGTGTATGTGGCAAACTTTGAACGACCTTTATATAAAGGTATTCAAAAAATGCTTTCATTTGTTTTCGTTAAGAATTCGAAATCGTAAAAATTTAATTTTAAAATAACTACAAATCTAAAGTCAAAATCGAAAAAGCTAGTTATTAATAAACAACAGATATTTTTTTTATTACTCATTAAGACCCATGATTTAAACTATGACGAATTAAAACAATGTAAATCATGAAATGTAATTATATACAGTACATTTTTCAGGCAGTCATAACCTTGTAATTTTTGGGATATAAATTATCAATTTAATAAAAAAGATATTCTCATTTGTGATTTTCTTTTAGTAAATAACAAAACACAAATCTTCAAACGATAAAATTAGTGCGTGAATTTCGTGAAGTTTGCAACATGCAATTATCGATATTAATCGAAAACAGTACAACGTATATTTAAAATATTTGAAAATCAGAAGTGCAAACTGACAATGAAAATCTTTTTATATTGTGTGTGTTGTATAAAAATATAAATAATATGTTTAATTTCAGTGTGTTATAGTGTTTAATTATTAGTGTTGTGTTGTGTTTTAATAAACATGTGAACTTCAAAAAAACTTCGTAATAAAATGTGTCAACAATGAAGAAAGTAAGCAGCCAAGTCAGAGAAGAGAATAGAGAGTCGTAAGTAAAACAAAATAATTACATTATATATTTTTATTATCATATAACATTCCTTGGTAACAGCCAAAATTTTAAATAACAATCCTATATTTACTATTTCTCATTAAATAACATACGAATCACATTTAAAGACAATAAGTGGCAAACATGAGAAGAAAATGGATAAAATAATCTAAACAATTATTTTCTATTAAGTACCATTGATAGTACTTACAACTTCTTATGTTATTTGCAATTT